TAACATAATTTCAACTGAGTCTCACTTTACTCAGCTGCAATGTGGGGACAGGAATACCTTGTAGAGTTGTGTGAGAAGAGAATAGTGCACATAAAGTGCTTAGTACAGTGGGTACTAATTATGTAAGGCCTCAGTAAATGATAGCTGTTATCATTATGACCTATCGTTAAGGGCCATAATAAAGCCTGTTTTTCTTTATTTAATACATAGTTTTTATTTAACATATTAATTTAGAGATTAAAAAATAATTGTCACAGTTTGACTCAGTTTGAGATTATAATTGCAAAACAGCTTATTTATCCACATAGCCTCCTTTCTGAGAGTTAGAACTAACATAAGGATTTGACTGAAGTCTCTGCTCTGGCTCTTCCTTAGGAATTATTTGGGCAGCCATGTCAATTAACACATCTAAAACTTTAAGGCTAAAAGTATGTTATTAATTTTTGATTAGGTTTCATTAGCCAATTATTATTTATTGACCATATGTTAAGTAAGTGGAACAGAAAAGTATCACCAAAGGCTAATATGATTCCTACTCTACACATTTAGAGCTAAAAAGGACTTGGGCATATTTTATTTACAAACTCAGTAATTTTGGTGTGTCTATTTTGTGCTAAACACAATACCATTCCCTAGGGATACATACATGAAAAGATAGCTCCTTACTCTGAAGATTAGTCTAGTACAGTGTCTAGAATAGAATGTAAAATCCACTTGGTACCCCTAATCCTCAGCAGGGTGGGGAGGGAATATCCTTCTTATGTGGTCCCATAGCATCCTATGCTTGCACTTATTTTGGCATTTCTCACACTGTACATTAGTTGTCTGTCTCCTATGCTAGACTGTAGGATGCCTGAGGACTGGGATTGTGTCTTATTCATCACAGAAGATAACTAAAACATGATCTTGGCCCCTAAAGACCTTAATATCGAGTGACAAAGAAATAAACTACTAATATTTATAAGGAACTTAACTTTAATATAAACTGGTATGAAATAAAGGCTTCAAAGTGTATTCTATAAGAAGTAGGAGGTTTTAGAGAAGGTTATTTAGAGGAGATGGCATTCAAGTTGAATTTAGAAGGAATGGCTGGATTTCCATGGCAGGTAAGGAGGGCAAGAGAATCCAAGACGAGGGAACATAATGAGCAAAAGCACAAAAGCAGGACAGTACATGTGCTGCTTGAAAAATAGCAACAAGTTCCATGTGAGTGAACTCTGGCAAGAATGTTAGGCAGGGGCTTAGTTGTAGCTGTGGGCAGTGGTACATTGACGAGGAAATTTGAACAAAGGGACCTGATCACTGTGTCAATAGTGTGAATGATGGGAAAAGAAAAATAAGATTTAGGAAAGGCAGTCTGGAGATTTCCAGTAATGTAGACAAGAGATATTGAGGTGAAAAAAATGTAAAAGGAAAGGGAACAATTCTGGAAACATACAAATGGACCCGTCAGACCTAGTAAGGGTCAGAAATTCCAGTTTAAGAATCTTCATCTCCAAGGTGGTAGCAGCTCTGGCAGTAGTTAGGTCGCTAAAGACCATAGAGAAAGCCAGAGGGAGGCCACAAAACCTCGTGGAAAGCTTATATTTAAGGGGTAGGTAAATCTTCAGATTTAGAAGAAATCACGTTTCAAATCTGTTATTTAAAAAGATGTCCTTGCGATCAAGTTGTTTGCTCAAGTTAATGCCTAGTTTATAGCAGAGCCCCCTAGAACCCAGGTGCTCAGTGCACTATTGTTTAATGCTCTAGACTTTAATGCTAAATGTGAAAATCTAACCTATACCACTTTTTCCATCCTCATCTATCTTGGTAAACAGACTAAACTTGAATTCTGGACCCCTTTACATAAATCAAAGTATTCTCTATCTCTTATGATTATAGTTAGAAATATTACACAAAATTTTGCCTTTGGAAAATACGGAGCAAGATGTCTACATGTATGCCATTTAAAATTATATTGTGTGATATGAATTCATAGTAGGACTTGTAAAAAGCCTAGATAATTAAAGCTACCTTATGTTCTACATGCAATAAGTTAATCTTATACATTATTGTTTTATATCCTTTATGTAAAAAAATCTCATTTTCAACACTGAATTATCTTTATGATCCCTAAATACCTTGCTGTATACAGAAATGGGACGATTTTGCTCAAATAAGCCAAATCAAATTATTTCACTGCAGTGCTACAGGAGATTTTATTGCTATTAATTCTGCAGTCTTCTATGGCATGTGCCAACGGTTTGGTTTGAAATCCCACTTTTAATTATCAAGTGAAGTATTTATTCCTCAAAGAAGGAGGCCTGAACAAAAAGATATGAAATTTAAAATATAGTGTTTAAAATAGTAAGTGTACGATGGGGCCAAACTTCAGAATAGCATCATTCTTGCTTAACAATAGAACTAAATAATATGTGGATTTTATGAGGATTAACGTGCTCTGAAAGAACAGAGCTTTGAAAATGAACCAGGGCTAGCTGGTTAGCTCAGTTGATTAGAATGTGGTGTTATAACACCAAGGTCAGGGGTTCGCATCCCTGCACTGGCCAGCCTCCAAAAATAAAAGAAAGGAAGGAAGGAGAAAAATTATGTAAAAGAAAAGATGAACCATCACAAGCCATTATTAATGAACTGTTTGTAATTGAAAAACTCTGATAAAGATCAGCTGATAAAATGAGCAGAGCACTATAAATACTAGAAGTTAATGGACCATGCCTAGATAATTGAACATTTTTAATCTTAGAAAATGGATTTTAACCATTTGAATGTGGCACAGTAAATGATTGCATCAGAATTCTCAAATATAGATTTGTGGCCTACCCAAAAAGATCAAAAACATACATTTTAATTGACCATTTTATAGTATAAAGTTTCCAGAAAAATGATGGGGGTTTTTTGATGTTTTTACTTTTCTTTGCTTACTTTTGTGTCACTTTTGTTTTTTTTAAGGAAACATATTTTATTAAAGTATAATATACATACAAAAGTGTTTCGCAAGTCTTGGTGAAGTTTCACAAATCGAATACACTCATGTATCCAACACTCAGATCAAGACACAAAACATCAACCATCCCTTCATAATCCATCACCTGCACACTCCCAATCAACAGGTACCTGCCACCCCAAAATAAAATGCTGGGAAAGAATTCTTCATGTACCTCTCATGTTTCTGCACATCTTGTGAGCAGAGGCACTGACTGCCAGTGTTCAGAGTATCTGAACAAACAAGGATGTGTGTGTAGCAAACAGCCTTGGAACCTATAGTGTCTCCTTGCAGAGCAAAGGGCAGATTTGCTTACAGCCTTGAAAAACAGACATTATGTCTCTTAGGAAGCAAAGAATAGGCGAATAGGTTTACTTTATTGTTCAGTATAATAATGTCTCCCTTCAAAGCAAAGGACAGATATGTTTACTGCCCATTATAAAAGAGTCAGGTTCCCTAAGTTCAGGATTTCTCTCCTGTAATACAATCCACTGTGTGTGCACATGTCACATGGCTTCCATATTGCCTCCTGGGAGTTAGAGCTCAGGGAACTGGTGCAAATACTGACACTGATATTAAATTGTAAGGCCCTTTGTCTCTGACCCAGGATCCGTTAACTAAGAAGGCTAACTTGTTAGCTTGCAAGTAGGGTAAATCACAGACCCTTCACTGTTCTTGGCAGTAATCACTATTCTGACTTCTGCCATCATAGATTAGTTTTACCTTTTCTTAAACTTCATATATAATTGGAATTATATGCCATCTACTCTTCTGTGTCGAGCTTCTTATATCCAGCATATTTGTGAGATTCATTCATATTATTGCATGTAGGCATAGTTCTTATAGTATTCCATTGTGTGAATATTAAAAAACTTTATTTTTTTCCTATTGATGTACATTGGGCCAGCTCCCAGTGTCAGCTATTAAAATTGTGCTGTTATAAACAATTCTGTGCATGTCTTTGGGTGAATATATGTATGCATTCCTGTTGGGTATTTCTAGAGCTGGCTCAGAGAGTGTGCACAGATACTGCCCAATGATTTACTGAAGTATTTGTACCAAGCTATTTCTCCCACGTTTCAACCCTTGTTTTCCATCTTTTGTTTTGTTTGTTTTTTCAGAGTAACATGCTTTTATTTTACCATCATGCATGTAAGGAAAGAGAAATATGCCAATGGTGCACTTCCAGTTTTACAGAGCAATCTCACAGGTATTTATACTGTCTAGAAAACAGACACATCAATTACTAAGTTGTTACTAGGGCAAGGAAGAAAATCAACCAGAGCCACAAAGTCATTTTTCCATGAAGACAACAATTTCCAAAATCTTCAGAGTCTGACAAAACCAAGTTATTCAAATTAAAAATTTAAGGATAAAGTTTTAACAGAAACAAGAACAGGCTGAAAACTGTTATGAATACTCAAATAAGTCTCTATCAATGTACAAAAAAGGAAGACTGATATTCTTCCAAAAGTTCCCAATTGAAACAAAACTAGTACAGCTCAATCTTCTCAATAAATGAAAACAAAGTAAAAGGATTTTACTAAATACTAGTGAAATTAAAGGCACAATAGTAATCTTCCACATAAATAAGACCACATGAAAATAAGAGAAAACACCCAAAGTTGTACTGTTTGTGTTCTTCAAAGAACCCTTGTCTAGGAAACAAACAAGTATTTAACACTCCAACCACCTTCAATCCTCCTATCCCAATCCTGAGAAAAGTATTTCTTCTCCCATCACCACTAAGAGTAGGTACTCCTTCCTTCAAGTTCTCAGTTAACCTAGTTTTAATTTTAGGCTTAATTTCCCCGTAGCTTATTTTTGCCTTGTTATGGCCTTTTGTACTATTTTCCCTGCTTAGGGCATCCACCACAATCTCTTTAGTTCTTCCATCCACTCTGAAATAGAAATTACTTTTCATTCCATCTAGATATGTATCCCTTTATACCCGCTAGGCATTGTGAGAGATGTGAAATAGAACAGAAAGTGTACACCCACCCTGGCACTTATGGCACTTAATCATGTTCAGGATGAGGAAGGCAAATAAAGGTACCTAGATTTTGTATGCATTCACTGGTTGCATGTGAGAAAGCCCGGGACTTGGCAAGGACACCATCATACCTCATACCCTTGCATAAGGACAGTTTTAACTGGTCACCTCAACCACCTGCCTGACAGTTAATAGGGTTTTGGAGGTGAGGGTGGAGGTGGTAAAGAATTGAGAAGTCATTTAGGGGAGGAATAGAAGAGTCTTTTGTGTGCCAGCAGGAAACCAGTTCTGGAGATCCTTGTTTACCAGAAACCAGAAAGTGGAGCTGACAAAGGTCTGGCTTATGTTCATACAACAGGCAGCAGCCCAAGGGAATAGACAAAGCACCAGGTGACCAGAGGAGCAAGAAGAACAAGAGAGTCACATAAATCACATATACCAAGTGGCTCACTGCTGCTGTCCCTTGACTTCATGAATGCTCAGCAACTGTCCATAGGCCATGTGCCTGTACTGCCCCATGCAGAGCAGAGTGAGTAGACCAGGTTCCCAGACACGGCTAGAAATCCAGATGGTGGTAGCCAGACCAGAGGCCCTAGAAACAAATAGGGTCCAAACAGTGCAGATAAAGACAGTGCAGTCTACAGTATCATTTGCTTGACTTAGAAGGGTGTGAACCATGGCCAAGCATAATGTGACGTTAATGCAGGATAGCATAAAGACCATATGGAAGTGGAGCAACTTGGCCACGCAGGCCTCAATCTTGAGGTTGTGAGAACACAAAGTTTAGAGGAAGGAGGGTACATACAGAAAGGTTAGCAGAAAAAAAGGAAAAGGCGTATCCACTGCTGTTGCCCAAACACAGGTTCGGAAGGTGGTGGTAGGGAACCTTGTGCGGGAGTAATCCCAAGGGCAAAATCTAACCAGACTGGCACCCAAACGGCCTGGGGATCTCCACAGGCTCCCTTATCTGGCGACGTCTAGCTCTATGTGCCCCTTCACTTAACAGGTAGTATTGCAGTGGATTTGGCCAGAGGTCCTCTTTGATAATCTCAGCAATCCTGTCGGACTCTGGAAGGCTGTGGTCTGAAAACCAGGTGAAGAAGCTGCAGATCACATCTTGGTTCCTACGAATGAAGGACTGGGGTTCATGGCCCTGGCACCATACGATTGGAGTGGAAAGAGACACCACCTGGCCAGAGGACGTGACCTCATACTCCTTGACAATCAGTCTGTTTCTGAAGTAGGGGTTTCTTCGAAAGAAAAACTTGAACTTGCAGCCAGTCCTGGGGTATCTGAACTCCTTCACCTCCAAATTGGTTATGTACCTTAACATCTCTGCATCTTGACCACTGATCATGGCGGACAACTGTGGGTGGTTCCGAATCGAGAAGAACCAGAAGCCGGGAATATTCTGAATGATGTAGTTCCTCCGGTCCAAGTAGTGCTGCCGCATCCGCCCAAACCTACGCTCCAACTGGAATAAGGCCCTGTCAGCCTGAGCATTCACAATGTCCAGTTCCCGCTGGATGGCCTCTAGCGGGTTCATGAGGAGAGGCACGTTCAGGGGACGGGGGCGGGGCCCGGGCCTGGCCTCCTCCTCCGCCTCATCTATCACTCTGTTTTCCACCACCACTTCCATTGCTTCACCTGCTGGCTTCTCCACCACCACCTCAGCCCTCTCCTCCTCAGCCACCGCTACTGAGAAGATGGCGGCGCACTTTCCAGTCTCCGCATCCTTGGCCTTCGCCCCAGCCATCACCTCAGACCCAGACTTCCGGGTGCCACAGGTTTCTAGGGCCTTCTCCCCACCTGGGCAGTGTGTCTCTCCACCTTGAAAGCCATTTTTGAGGCTGCCGTCCGTTGCGACGGACGTAGAGGCTGCTCCCAGGCCCTCCGTGGGTGGCGGAGCCACTTCCTGCCCCACTTCGGTCGCTATGGGACC